GAGAAAAGCCATGATAAATTTCATATATATACATATATTTTATATATATAATTATATATATACATACATATACTTTTATATAATATATATATGGTGTGTGTGTGAGACAAAGAGAGAAAGGGAAAGGGAGAGAGAGAAAAAGCACAGCGGGCACAAAGGGAGGCTTAGTCGGGACTTATCAATCCCCTGTTTAAACTCCCCAGCAGTGTGCCACTACACTTGAAATAAAATCCACACCATTTATCATGATGTACCAGACCCTGCCCAGCTCAGCCCCTTCCCATCTCTTTGTTCCCATCACCCATCACACGGTCCCTTACTGACTCCACACCTGCCTGCAAACATTATTTCTGTCCTTGAACACAGCTGATCCTTTCTCACCTCAAAGCCCTTGCCCTCAGATCTTCACAAGGCCACCTCTTTCTTGATTATTCAGACCTCAACTCAAATATCTCATTCTCTGAATAATATCTACATAATGGCCCTTTCCTCAGTCATTTTCCATGGCATTACTCTGTTGTATTAGCTTCATAAATTGTTTCCCTATGAAGTTGTTTACTTATTTACATAATTATTGTCTGCCCCTTTTTCCCTCTGCCCCCCACCCGATGCAATAGAATGGGGACTTCCTGAAAGCAGGGAAGCCTCCTCTGGCTTGCTCACTGTTCTGCCCCAGTGCCTCGAGCGTGCCTGGAGGCTGGCACCTAATTGACATTCATCAAGTATGAACATGGCCTGGAGAAGACAAGAAAGATTCACCAAAGAAAAGTTATAAGTTAAAATATGTCATGAATAGGGAGGGCAGTTAGGGCCAACACCAGGACTTTGGCTGTTAGAATGCAGGGTGCAGGGTGAAGTGTGAAGATAGACTAAAGGGGTGAAGCATCCCAAGGGCTTTGTTGGCCAGGAATAGGACTCGAGCCCAGACCCCAGAGCTAGAGTGCAGAGATCAAATGTCAGGGGGCCTCCCTTACCAGATGTGTGACCTGGGACAATCCTAACCTTTCTAATCACTTGTTGCCTCATTTTCAGAAGAGCTGATAATTGCAGTACTCTTCATTGGCTAGTGTGAAATTTAAACGCATCACATGGAAAATGCCTAGTAGTACCTGGGACATAGTTAGCTAAGCATTTATACTGTGCCCTAGAAGGGAATCACTGAAGAGTTTGAGGAGTAAGGTTATGGGATTCAGATTTGTATTTTATAAAGATCATCAGGTTGGCAGTGGGGAGGATGGACTGGAGGGGGCTGATAAAGCAGAGTCAAGGAAGCAACCAGGTAGTGAAGACAGACCAAGACAAAGCAGTGGCAGCAAGGCTGATTCAAGAGTTATTAAGACAGTGGACTCTGGCATCAGTTTGAGGAGGGAGATAAGGGAAGGAGATGATTCAGTGGGTGGCTGGTGGTGCCATTTGCCCATATGGGAAATACAGGAGGGAACCCAGTTTGAGAGCCAGGATGGGAAGGGAGGGTGAGGAGGTGTGATTTCTTCAGCTGTGGCTGGCTGAGTTAAGTGTTACGGAAACTCCAGGTGGAACTTCCCAGAGAGAAAACCCCCACATCTTTCTGATCACAATATAACCCTAACGTGATTAGCATTGTACTTATCAGTACTTAATAAATATTAGCACTTAATATTTGGTGTTTAAAATTTTTGCTTTTGAAGAAAATATTGTGAGAAACATTTTTGTCCACATTCAAGTTTTTTCCTTTTAGACTTCTATATGTAGAATTACTGGGGCAAAAGGTATGTTATCTTTTGAAGAACTTAATTCATCTTGCCAAATTGCTTTTCAAAAATTTCGTCCCAACAATATACTCCCACAATAACCTGGGATTTTTAAAAAGCAGCTTAAATGTTTTTTATAAATACCACTCCCAAAGTTGCCAGGGTATGGAGAACAGTCCTCTTGTGTGTAGGGATAAACCTAAGCATCAACTTCAGCTCCTTCCTTAAAATTTGACAATTGCCTTTTTGTCTTAGGGAAACTCCCAAAGTCAATGTCTGTTATTCATTAACATGTTGCAATACCACAACCCAGATCATATTCTTGAAAACACGATGATGTGTAAAATACAAACACTATATATGTAAATACTCCCATGAGGTCTGTGGATGGGGGTAAAAGGAGAAGGCACTTGGGGAACAAAAAGTTCTGTTGTACCAAAACTACATTAACACTGTCTTCCACCACCCCCTGCCCCACCAGAGAACTTCCTTTACCACAGTTTAGTGGATATACACGGAAGGAAATTCCATTTCCTTTGAATCAATACAGGGGTTATAAGAGGGTACCATTCACCAATTTTAACCCAGAATAAGCTAAAACTTCTTTTTAATACATATGTCAATAGATTTTCATCAAGCTAAAGAAGAGCCATTTTCCCTGAAGACAGCATTTTGGTCAGTTCCACATACGGTTATCATGAATTGTTGGTCATTCAGGTGCTTTCTGTGGTTTTTGTTACTGTTTTTCTTACACTGACCACATACAACTGAGACACCTCAGGGTAACAGAACCCAAGAAAGTCTATGATATGTTTGCTATCCTTTTCTGTGAATGCTCGCTTTGTGTTTATTAGAATTAGATTTGTACATTACCAAACCAATGTAGATTTAATGAAGATTTATCTGTTGTCTTTTTTAGAAAGTCCTTATGAAGGAAACTTGGGTACACTGTTCTTGTCCATGTGTTGTATTGAGTTGAATATTTGTTTTGTGTTTCTCATAATCCACTGGAGGCCATTTAACTCGGTGGCCTGCAGCAACAACACTTGCCTCTTCTGTTTAGAGCAAGGGTCCCCAACCACTGGGCCGTGGACCAGTATCAGTCCATGGCCCATAGGAACCGGGCTGCACAACAGCAGGTGAGTGAGCATTACCACCTGAGCTCCACCTCCTGTCAGATCAGCAGCAGCACTAGATTCTCCTAGGAGCATGAACTCTATTATGAATTGCACATGCAAGGGATCTAGGTCGTGCACTCCTTATGAAAATCTAACTGATGGCTGATGATCTGAGGTGGAACAGCTTCAATCATTCCCCACCCCACCCTGCCACTGGTTTACAGCCTTAACCATCCATCAAGGTTTGAAGGGAGATTCATAGCTTTTGGAAGACTTTCTTACACTTAGTCCACAGTTGCTGTTCTCAGGAGTTAATGGGAGGAGCCCACAATTATTCAAAAGAGGCTGGGTCTAATTTGTATCAAGTGGGACTCACGTCAAGTAGGGAAGCAATAAAGACTGTTCATCTCTTGTAAATCATGATTCTTTTCTTCTAGTGAGCACAAATCAGGGGTGGATCCATCAAAGAATGGGAAGACATGATGCTTTTGCTTGAATGTGGACTTGGTAGCTCCAAAATGGTCTCCTTTGCTATTGGGATGGTCATCAATGCTTGAAGGAAATTGCTGTGGTTGTGATGGGGGGTTGAGTAGTATATAATGCATCTCACTACTAAAGAGTCAATCAGATGTCCCTGGTCCTCCTGGGGCTGTCTGCTGTTACATTTAAGAGTTCACTTCCCATCCATTGTGTCCATTTGTAAGAGAGGCTCTCCAAAAGAACACAATAGCAAGTTTACACATACTGTTGAGCCTGTTTACCACAGGGATCTCAAAATCATAGTGGTCCTGCCTGTTTTGTTGTTGTTCTTTACATTCTTTGTGTCTATTTCTATACACTGCACCGATTATACTATAAAGCTATTTTGTGATCAGAAGAATTGAGAGAGACTGAAACTAAATCTTTCTCTCGAGCTACAAAAGTTATCTGAAAATAGAAAGAGACCTACCCATATTTTTTAAAAATTACACTTGTTATCCAGTTATAGCTATAATGGCAACTCATAAAACCATAGAATTTTAGATGTAGGTTATATGGGGAAAGTGAATATAGTCCTCCCTTGGTATCTGTGGGGGTTGGTTTCAGGACCCCAGTGGATATAAAAATCCATTATAAAATGGTATAGTATTTGCATATGATCTATGCACATCCTTCCATATACTGTAAATCATCTCTAGATTTCTTATAATACCTAATACAATATAAATGCTATGTAAATTGTTGTTATACTTTATTTTTACTTGCATTATTTTTTATTGTTGTGTTGTATTGGATTTTTTTCCCTAATATTGTCTCCGTGGTTGGTTGCATCCTGGATGCTGAGTGCGCAGTAGGGAGGCCTGACTATTAGAAACCAGCTGCTGTATAACATTGGCCTCTAGGAAAACGTGTCTCCTGGTCAAACAAGTTAGGGAAAGCCTGTATCCTGTATCTTCCTCCTTCTGGATATTAACAATGAAAAGTCAACTGTAACTCAGCATTTTCCAAACTTATTTGATTACAGAATCTTTTTTACCCTGTGTAATAGCTGTTAACACCCTGCGTGTAGGAAATGAGTCCAGTCACACCATGGAGGTCCAGAAAATTAAGCCACTTGCCTGAGGTCACAGAGCAGTAATGACAGAGCCATGATGGGACCCCACTGCTAGCTGATAGCCTCCCTCAGAATGGCTGCATACTTGTATTGCCAGCAATGGCTTCAAAAGGTGTTCAAAATTATGTTTCTTTGAAATTGATTTAAAGAGTGATTTCTAAAGTTGTAGGATCCTAGTTTAATTTGGAGAGATTTATCTGTTAGCATATAGAAAATGTGTCAATTGGCCCATTCAATTTAGTAGTACTCTTTATTCAGATGCATCAGAAATGGGACCCGAATCGTATGCATGGTGGAGAACAAAACGTTCCTGAGGCGCTCAGTGTGAGGGGTGGGGAACGGAGAAAGCCAATAAGCAATTAAACAAGTAGATATGTAGTTACAAATTATGCTGCGTGCTATGTATGTGCTATCAGATTGAGCTGAAATTTGCAGTCATTTTTTAATTGACCCAGAACCAAAGGAATCAATAGCAGTTGTTTTTATGGTTATCTGAATATTCAGCTCATAACGACAGTTTGCACCACGTGACAGCCTCTCCCCTTCTTGTTTTTCCAGCCCAGTGGAGCAAAATGAGAGCGCAGTGAGCCAGGCCCAGCTTCTCTCCTAGCCGTCCCCGACTCCCACCATGAACCACTTGGAGGGGTCTGCGGAGGTGGAGGTGACTGACGAGGCGGCAGGTGGGGAGGTGAACGAGTCGGTGGAGGCCGACCTGGAGCACCCCGACGTAGAAGAGGAGCAGCAGCAGCCGCCACAGCAGCAGCACTATGCGGGCCGCCACCAGCGCGGGGGCGCCCTCGAGGACCTCCGCGCCCAGCTCGGCCAGGAGGAGGAGGAGCGTGGGGAATGCCTGGAGCGCTCAGCCAGCACCGAGAGCGGCTTCCACAACCACACGGACACCGCCGAGGGCGACGTGATCGCCGCGGCCCGCGACGGCTACGATGCGGAGCGCGCACAGGACCCCGAGGACGAGAGCGCCTACGCTGTGCAGTACCGGCCGGAGGCCGAGGAGTACACGGAGCAGGCGGAGGCCGAGCACGCCGAGGCCACGCACCGCCCTGCACTGCCCAACCACCTGCACTTCCACTCGTTGGAGCACGAGGAGGCCATGAACGCGGCCTACTCAGGCTATGTCTACACGCACCGGCTCTTCCACCGCGGCGAGGACGAGCCCTACGCTGAGCCCTACGCCGACTACGGCGGTCTTCAGGAGCACGTGTACGAGGAGATAGGGGACGCGCCGGAGCTGGACGCGCGCGATGGCCTGCGGCTCTACGAGCAGGAGCCCGACGAGGCGGCCGCATACCGCCAGGAGGCCCTGGGCGCGCGGCTGCACCACTACGACGAGCGCTCAGACGGCGAGTCTGACAGCCCCGAGAAGGAGGCCGAGTTCGCGCCCTATCCGCGCATGGACAGCTACGAGCAGGAGGAGGACATCGACCAGATCGTGGCCGAGGTCAAGCAGAGCATGAGCTCGCAGAGCCTCGACAAGGCGGCCGAGGACATGCCCGAGGCCGAGCAGGACCTGGAGCGACCCCCTACCCCGACCGGGGGTCGCCCCGACAGCCCCGGGCTGCAGGCACCGGCGGGGCAGCAGCGGGCAACAGGCCCCGCTGGCGGCGGCGAAGCAGGGCAGCGGTACAGCAAGGAGAAGCGCGATGCCATCTCGCTGGCCATCAAGGACATCAAGGAGGCCATCGAGGAGGTGAAAACCAGGACCATCCGTTCGCCTTACACCCCCGACGAGCCCAAAGAGCCCATCTGGGTCATGCGCCAGGACATTAGCCCCACCAGGGACTGTGACGACCAGAGGCCGATGGACGGAGATGTAAGTCGGTGCGGGTTCAGGCTTCCTCAGCCCCATGCGGCGGGAGGGAAGATGGCGCCCCATGGCCTTGTGTGCCCTTGGGTAGTGGCTTTATGGGAAATGGTCTGTGGGGAGGCTAATAACTTTTCCACCCTAAGCCTCAGAAGCAGGTTGCACCTAAACTCTCAAATACCAGCCGGAGAGAAAGTGTTGAATGCACTCGTCAGATTGTTAGCAGGATGGCTTCAAATCAGTGCTTCCCACACTGTGCCTGGAGGCCTTGTGAGAAATGCTTTCTTGGGTACATTGCCCTCCACCCCCAGTTTCTGATTCAGAAAGAGTGGGGTGGGACCCGAGAATTTGTATTTCTAATGCCAAATAAAAAACAAGCCCTGATTGAGGAAGGAGAGACTTCCTTGGAAAGGATTATTGCAAAGGGGAGAAAGATACTGTTTCATTATAGGGAGGAAGGACTGTTGCGGTAGGAGAACCTCTGACCTTAAGATCTTTAAGGGTCTCTAGGGTTAGGAACAAGGGGGAAGTTGTTTTATAGGGAGGAGTAGCCAAGTAGAAAGAACGGGGTGTGTGAAAGTGGCGTGAAAAGGGTGGGAGTTGAATGTGCCGTGGATCAGAGAATGTTTCTACCTGAGACCAGCGTTTTCTCAGGAGTGGTAGTATGCTGGCCAAAGGTCACGCACCTGGAGGAAGGAGAGACCCTTAACCAAAGTTTGATTAGCAAGCAGTTCAGCTGATGGTTGGTGAAGAAAGAATGGAAATGTGGAGGGTCTGCGTCTGGCCTTGTCATAGGTAAACAAGAGGAGCATCCCTATCCCTGTTCTAAGTCAGAGGAGAAGGAGTTTCCCAGAACACAAAAGGATGGGAGTATTTCTTCATTTTGTTTCTCTGGTTCTCAGGTAAAGTTCAATGTTGTCACCAACAAGTTCCTAAAAATGCTGGTCCCAGGACCACAATTTGAGAACTGCCTTAAATCAATCCCTTGAAGATTTGGGATGGGTAGTGTGCCCTCTTTGGAGGAAATCCTTCTGAGCCTTTTTCTGCCAGGGGTTTCTGCAGTTTTGTTTGTTTGCTTGTTTGTTTGTTTGTTTTGTTTTGAGATGGAGTCTTGCTCTGTCACCCAGGCTGGAGCTCAGTGATGTGATCTCTGCTCACTGCAACCTCCGCCTCCTGGGTTCAAGCAATTTTACCTCAGTCTCTCGAGCAGCTTGGATTACAGGCAAGTGTCACCACGTCCAGCTAATTTTTGTATTTTTTAGTAGAGACGGGGTTTCATAATGTTGGCCAGGCTAGTCTCGAACTGCTGGCCTCAAGTGATCCACTCACCTCAGCCTCCCCAAGTGCTGGGATTACAGATGTGAGCCACAGCATCTGGCCGGTTTCTGCGATTTTTTTGTTTCGGTTTGGTTTTTTGAGACAGAATTGTACTCTTTTTGCCCAGGCTTCAGTGGAATGGTGCGATCTTGGCTCACAGCAACCTCCACCTCCCAGGTTCAAGTGATTCTCCTGCCTCAGTCTCCTGAGTAGGTGGCATGACAGGCGCATCCACCATGCTCAACTAATTTTGTATTTTTAGTAGGGATGGGGTTTCACCATGTTGGCTAGGCTGGTCTTGAACTCCTGACCTCGAGTGATCTGCCTGCCTTGGCCTCCCAAAGTGCTGGGATCACAGGTGTGAAACACCCCGCCCGGCCTCTGCAGTTTTTCCACCCACCCTATGCCTCATTGTGGGCTTCAATAGGTGCATAATTTTCACATCTGGTTGTATCAGGTCATCCTTCCCACTTCACAAAAGATATGTATTCTGTTTTAAACCAAATTGTGTTTCATTGTGAAGAGCTACACAAAGTAATTGATGCCACTGTTGACATTTTCCATTTTTGAAATACCTAGGAAATGTTATAACATGGCAAGCTTAGGTGTCACTATCTGTTCAGAATGTATCAGAAAGACTAACTTTTGCTCTGACTCCTTTGCTATAAAGATTCTCTCTGCTTCTACTCTCCCTTTCCATACTCTTGAATAATTTTTAAGCCTTTCATTTTAAAATGGATCTTAGAGTAAGATAAGGGTCAAGAGCTTATATTCAATTTCATTTAATTCTACATTTTATGATTGCACCAGGACGTTTCTCAATACATATCTTTGGAGTGAGAAACCATTATTGTAAGGTATTTGTTCATTTTACTTACACAGAAAGAGCTATGCAGGTCAGAGTGGTAGCATTCACCTCCTCTTTAAGGAATAGTCAGCATTTGCTGTTAGCGGATTAGAAAAGGTTGGAAACCAGTAGGGAAGGGAACTTCATTTCTCTCCAGCAAGGGGGCAGCATTGGGTCAGTGAGTTCAGGCATGTCCTGTCTCTCTCTTTTCTAGGCTTCTGATTCAGTGAAAAAACAGGTGCACTCACATGCAGAATTCTCCTTGACCTCCAGCTGTCTCCAGATTCCTCCCAGCTAGGAGGGATTGCAGCAAGCATTTTGCAAATGAGGTGGAAATAGAGCAGGTTTTCAAAAGTAGGGAGTTGGCAAAAGGCTGACTTCTGTATCCTTTTAGAAACCAGAGGAAAAAGCTGCAGGCACAGTTGGTCCAGATGCTGGCCTCTTCCTTCAGCTTTCTCCAGTGCGCCAGCTCCTTGAAATGACCTGCTTAACCAATTGCCCCTGCAGCCTCACAATGAGCCCACAGCACAGCCTATGGTAGGGCTAGAGGCTGGCTTTTATTCATTTGAACTAGGAGAACAACTTAACTCTCTTGCATGCTGTTTCATTCAAAAGGTAAAATTAATTATAGAACATTGTATGATGCTTTAGGAACCCACCATGTCAGAAATTCAGCTTGATGCTAAGAAATCAGTATGGATCACTGGGTTATGAATAGTTAATATGAAGTGAAACTGAAAACCTGTGCTTTAGAGTATTCCAGCAGTCATTTTTAAGCTATTTGTGGGTTGTATTTCATCTGTCATGCCATATTTATAGGAAAGACCTTCCTTTGCTGCCTCTGTAATGGTCTTATGAGAATATAATGATATTATATTCTGTTGATTTCCATCTCAGCATCAAAAAATATTTACTGAACACTCATTCTCCATGTACGCTGTTATAGAAAATGGAAAGGTGTTTTAAAGCCATGTGGCCTGAAGTCTGTCTGGGTGGTACTTATTAGAAATGCAAGTTACTGCCCTTCCTTTCCAAACCAGAATACCTGATGTGGGGCTCAGTGATCTGGTTTTTTGTTTCATTTTATTTTATTTTGTTTTGTAAACTTTCTCTGAGATTCATGAGCATGTGAAAGATTGAGAACTAATGATTTAAAGGAAAAAATGTATTATCTGGGCACTTTCCCCATGTAAGTGCTGTGGATATTAGATTTAACTAAATCTTTTATTAGCACAGATAAAGTTTTAACAAAAAGAGCTATCTCACTGTGATTATGGTCAGCAGACCTGGAGAAATGGTATTCTTACAAAAGCAGTATTTTGAGTATTTGCATTCTCAAAGTGGCAAGATCAGAAACCATAATGAAGCAAATAAAAGGAGACAAAAAAACCTGTATTGCCATTTGTCACCCACCATTGCTAATTGCTAAATCTGCTTTTAACACTACCTTTAATTCCCCCAGAACTTAAGCACTTTTTTCTTGGAGCAAACTGGCATTTGTTTGCTGGTGAGTTGTATAGAGAGAGAAAACGGGATTGCTTATCCATAAGAGTTTACTGAACACATCTATTACATGCTCAGCACTGAGAGAAAATAACTGTGTTCTAAACATTTGAAAAAATACTTAATGTGCTTTTCTTCTAGTAAGGGGTTTCCATTTTCTAAATATGTGCTTGAGAAGTATCTCCCAATCCCCTTCTTGAAAAATATTGATAATGAAGACCTGTCCTTTTCCTTTTTTTGTTTTGTTTTGTTTTTGAGATGGAGTTTTGCTCTGTTGCCCAGGCTGGAGTGCAGTGGCGCAATCTTGGCTCACTGCAACCTCCGCCTCCCAGGCTCAAGCAATTCTCCTGTCTCAGCCTCCCAAGTAGCTGGGACTACAGGTGCATGCCACCATCCCCATCTAATTTTTGTATTTTTTAGAAGAGACGGGGTTTTGCCATATTGGCCAGGCTGGTCTTGAACTCCTGACCTCAGGTGATCCACCTGCTTCAGCCTCCCAAAATACTGGGATTACAGGCATGAGCCACCAAGCCCAGCCTGAAGACCAGTTCTGAAAACCCATAGCCTACTGATCTGTCTATAGGCAACAGAATCATTCAAGAACAGAGTCACAGTAGACTCAGGGAGATTGATGCTAGCAAGCACACGGTGTAAACTGGATGGTTTTGGCTACTTTAAGTGGTGTGGTATATAGCTTGAGATGATGTTTATCTCTTCTCCCTCCTAGAATTCCAGTAAAATAATAAAAAGCACAAACGCTGACAGAGGAAACAGTAACAGATGAGCACAACAAAATTTGACAACACCCAAGTGGTAACTGGCTGTGATGGAAGGGTTAGTGTGCCCCAGGATTTCCAGTTCTTTTATTTTTTCAAACATGGAGAAGACTGCACTTCCTCATCCTCTAGAAGTTAAGCATGGCCAGGGAAACGTGAGCCCTGAAGTGTATTGCTTCCAAGTGGGAGCAGCTAAGACCATGCTTTCTTCCCCGGTGGAAACAAACCCCAAAGCCTTATGTTAAGGGGGCAGCCTCACAAGATGGCTGTGCCCCTGTCAGCACAGGTCCCATGAAACCACAATGAGTAGGGCTCCCTGGGACATGTATTCTGAGAGAGGAATCAACCTTTATCGTTTTAAGCCACAGAGATTTTTGGGGTGGTTTGTTATCACCGCACAGCCTGGTCCATCCTGACTAACACACTGATGAGGTTTCTGTTTTCTGTCTTCTGCCAAGTGTTTGTGAGGATGTGTGCAGTAGACACCCCCCAAAAAAGACTTAAGAATTTGAGACACAGATACCTCAGGTGGCAGAAATATGAGGAGTATGGCTGAAAACAAGAAG